TTTCGCAACAATAAAGACTGCAGTCAATTTTCATTTCTTATTTTAATTAAACATTATCGACGCAAATAAAAGATGAAAAACTATCTATATAAAATCCTCTGGTCATTAATAGAATATGATATACCTCTTGATATACTATAGAGAGCATCTCAGAACGAGAAACTATTAATCCTGCTAAGCATTTCGCCGCTGCTCTCCTAACTTTCCAGCTGGCATCCTCATCATCTGTGTACTCATTTGCACTCTCGCTGTGAAAACAAAGACATATGTCACTGAGATGATGGTGCACTGCAAGGGCCTAGGTAACAATTCAAATGCTTATATCAGAACTTACTCATCTTCTTCATCTTCAAGAGTCTCACTATCAGTATCTTCCTCCATGTTGTCAGTAAAATTCGGATCATAACTAATATATTCTAAAGTGAGATTTAAAATTTTATCGCAATATGGTGTGATGTCCCTTGGACACCGTAGCAAGAAACTTTCAAGTGCCTGCAGTTAAATTTCAGAGAGGACATGTTATCGCCTACATTCTCATATCACTTTCATTGAAGCTTAAATATTAAATTCCCAATCTAATACGACAGGGTAAAATAAAAGAGACTACAAGCACCCCTAAGAAATTGGATGAGAAAACAAAAAATGCACGCCTAATGAGAAAGGAGAAAATAAGGAATCTTGCATGAGACCTGTAAGCTATACTCGCGAAGCTCCTCGTCATTTTCTGAGGCGCTGGTGCAGTAATTGATCAAAACTGGAACAGTGTTACCAAGATGAGTCCCAAATCGGTATCCGACAGCACGGCTGAAACAAAAAGCGCATTAAATACCATCACACACATGGCAAGCCTAGTCATAGATGTCTAAGGTAAACCATGCATCCCATGCAATAAATAGGTAGGACAAGCAGAACTAACAGAAACATATTACAACACTACACAGTACCTTAAATAAGGATAGACAAGAAGTACCTTAAAGCTCCAATCATTTGAATATTGGTGCGTGTAATCTCGGATTTCGCATTCTTGTTACTTAGGTTTTTCACAACTTCAACTGTGGCCTTTGCGAGCAAATCATCAGACAGACTGGAAGCAAGAGATGCTGAAACCCGGGAAAAAAAATTGAAGCTTAAAAGAGGATATATGTACCGTCGAAATAAGAGTTCTATATAAGACTGGGGAAAAAAAACAAATGGAGTTGAATAATACATTTAACCCACGTTGGTATCACAAGAATTGACACCAAAAGCTATCCATATTCCTAAAGTTAATATTGGGCTAAGGAAAGCTGTCACTCAAGCCCCGTGAGGATAAAACCTGATTTCAACTCAGCAAACTATTGACAGAACTAGCTAGCAATCTTATTGACTCAATTTTGTTAACATACCAATGCATGTAACAGTCTTCTTCCTGACTGTGGCTTGGTTACAGCCCAATTGCAATAACAATGTCTTCAGTAGCTTCTCGTGATCATCTGCCATTAGACTTCCATATTTTTGAACAACATCACACATGATCTCAAGACATTCACACTTAATCCCTGTGCTCATTCCCTTCAGCAGCAAGCCAGCAGAAAATTAGTTACTTGCAAAAGAATCGAATTTCATAGAGTAGACAATTGATTATATGTGTGTGCTGTTCTCTGGTCTGCTAAGATGTGTTCAGAAAGAGCTAATAAACCATAACAGTGGGAACAAAACTTCAACATAAAATCAGCACAATTATATATATCAATCAATCTGATGTGTAGCCTGATTTTGTCTACTGAATTGAAATTTTGCTGGTATCCTGAAATTGTATCAGACCCTAGGCACCGTGGCATAAGCAACCAGGAAAAAAGGAATAGGCCTACCAACTACTAACCTGGCCACTTATCCCTCCTATCATTTGTGGGGTTAGAGTAACAAGAATAGATGGAGCAAGTGAAGGAGCAACTTGAGCGACAACAGTCCTGAGAGCTATGCTTGCAGTATCACGATGTTGGTCTTTCCCATGCAGCAGTTTATCACATAATTTGTCGGTCATTTCCACAATTCGATCTTCTCCAACCTTCTTCACCAATGGAGCAAGACTGAAACAAAATCATACATCAAGAGTTGAAGATAGTTCAGCTAATTTGAACGTCGATGATATAAACGTCAGTTTGGTTCATAAGTTTCCAAGAGAAGAAAGCTAACCATTTAACAGCCAATCCAGAAACATCACCAGCCACATCATCAAGCTGTTGCAATATGATACTCGACAACCTCATCTCCAAGTCCAAGTCCAGTTTAAAGGAATCCTTATTCAACTCATTGAGCAAATCCGAGGTTGCCATATATCTGTAATCTTTATCTTTACCCGTCATCTGAACATAAGAACCAAAAAAAAAACACAGAAATCAGAAAGTGAATATAATCAAAAACAAAATTGAGCTTAATTCGATATAGATGACAAAAAACCTTTTCAATTATTCCAGATAGTTGTAAGTTCGTCATCTTGGCTTGACCTTATCAATTCACCCCTTCCAACTGCAATCAAACGAGGATCAACAAAATAAATAGATAAAAAGAGAATCAAACATTCATTGGACTAAAACACATAGTCAAAAATCATATCAGCAGAACAATGTAACTCTATCAAGCTGTACACAGAAGAACAAGGAAAGACGAAACGAACAGTAACTAATTCTCTACCCACTAACAAAAACCTAATTCATCATCGCCATAAGAATAAACCTGCAAATCAATCGAAGATCACAAAGACGAAGTTCGGTTTGATGAATCGAAGTACCGTCGCACCAAAACCCTAAGACTACGAGTACGACTACAAAGACGAAAAGAGTTAATGCCAGACATCTTCTCGATGTCGCACAAAAAGCAAAAAAAAAAAGCAAAAGTGAGGAAACCCTAACCTGTGAAGAAGAAATCGACCGGAGATAACGCCGGAGACGAGGTATAACGCCGGAAAAAGTCCGATTGATGGTGGTGAAGTAGCCGAGAGGAAACTCCAGACGAAAGTAAACAGATGGGAGAGGCACTGTAAATTTTCCGTTCTCTTGAAGCTTTTATTTTTCGACCTTCTCTCTTCTTAACAAGAGAAACTGATATATAAACGACCTGGGCCGTTGGGGAAGTAATTGGGCCTGGCTTATAATAGAACCGCCCAGTGCGAAAATTTTATTGTAGGACTTAGCCATTTATAAACAAATGGGCTAGGCCCAACTATTCTTTTTTTCTCATTATTGGTCAAATGTTCTTTGGGAGAGCATGGGTTTCTCTCGTTGCTTGATCATATTTATGACGAATTTACCAGTGTTCTAAAAATTGTTCTAGGCGGCGCTTAGACGTTAGGCCCTCATAAACCGTGGCGATTACCGCTTATGCTGCCTAAATTATTATAATAATAAAATAATATAAATTTTCTTATATCTAAATCGTAATATTGTATGTATTTTGATATAAAATGGTTAATATAAATACAATATAAATTTTCTTATTCATAAATTATGTTTTTATAAATATTTACTATATATATATCTAATATATTATGTATTTTTGTAAAACGTTTAGACCGTTTATTGAATCGCCTAGACTCCGATTAAGCGTTCTAGGAACTAGACATTTGGTCATCGTCCGCTTAACGCCTAACACTTTCTTGAACATTGCTTTAGACTGATAATCACTAAAAAAAACTAAATATATATCATTTGGTTGAATTGTATGTATCGATAATTACAATTTTTTTGGTTTATATTATTAGATATATAATGTTACTTTCCTCTATCCAATAAGTATTTTTAACCAACAAACTTGCTTCTCAATAAATACAAAAATTCTAAAATACATTTCCATGTGTAACACGGATAATTATCTACTATTTTGTACCTGGTAACAAACCGCAAAGGACACATAGGTTTTTTTAATCAAAAGAATGCATAATTCATTATTTTGATGAATGCATTATATCTCAACCACACCAAAAAAAGACATTTAAAAAGTAAGGATAATTTGTCATTAATACAACA